TGAACAACTCGATAAGGCGCTATATCAAATGCAAGGATTATTATTAGTAGTAGTATTATTCGCGCAGGTGATAAGAGTCAGTCCATGTTACAGTGATTCAGTTAAACATCCCGATTGATGTTTAACGCAACAGAAAGTGTTTTTGGGGGGGGGGGTGGGTCGAATAGCAGATGAATTATGAACTTCACTTTTATGGTTATTACCATGAAAGGAAGAAGGTTCCAATAGGATTACTGTTTAACAAAGCGGTCATGGCCCATCCCCAGCCGTGGCTTGTTTGATGGGTTTTATTTGACTGAACCTTAAGAAATCAAATCAAGCCTGACGGAGCCTGCAGATTACCTTGTGTATTGAGCTCCTTTACCTCTAAGTAACAATGAAAATCATTAACCATCCTTGAGTTTGATATTTTCCTGATCGCATCAAAACATCTGACGGGATTGTTGGCCAGGACAATGGGAGAAATTCCCTTCTCTTTTCAAACGGTGCCCGCTCGCCTCGCAAGCGAGAGGACCCAGGGCTTGATTCCCGGGTGGGGAGAAACCTTAGGCAAGTTTCCTTACTCCACACGCCTCTGTTTATCTCACAGTAAGAAGGAACCCTGTTGTTAGTCAATTGGCGGATCGCATTCCTGGGGTATTAATCCCTCAAAAAAATTATTTGGTCACTCAATCTATGACTGTTTGTGGGGCACTGCTGTGTGCAATTTGGTGCATTTAAACCCACAAAATACACAGTCAATTCGCTTTGCAGTATATTCAGTGAAGCGCTTTGAGACGTGTCAACAACGTGAAAAGGGCGCCGTCTCAAATACTGGGATTATTATTATTAAGTGGTGCCGTGGGATCTTTAACGTCCACTTGAACAGGTGGACAGGAGCTCGGTTTAACATCTCTTCTGAAGGCCGGCACCTCCGACAATGCAGAGTTTACACGCAATCCCAAAGTATCACACTGGTGCGTCAGCCTGCACTGTTGGCCCAAGTTTAGGCAATTGAGCCACACTGAGGATTGATGGGTTAGGGTTACTTTGCACCTCTGACACGTTATGTAAATTACCAATTGCTCCATCACAGGCTTATAAGTGATTTTCTCATGCCAGCAATGCATGATCTAAGTCCACTGATCTCTAGAAAGCCCACAAATACAGCAGTACAGTACTGTTATGCAGGACCCACCGAATCTGGCGAAAGTTATACTAACATACACCAGCCATGCACCTGTATGTGTACAGCCTGGCTCAGTCGGGAGCGCTCTCACCTCTGAGTCGGAAGATTGTGGGTTCAAGTCCCACATCGGGACTTTGGGTTCATAGTCTAAGCTGACACTGCAATGGAGTGACTGAAGGAGCACTGCACTGTTGGAGGCATCGTTCTACAGATGAGACGTTAAATCGAGGTCCTTACACGCCATTCAGGTGGACGTTAAAGATCCCGGGACACTATTCGAAAAGAGAAGGTAGTTTCTCTCTCCCCCGGTATCCCGGCCAAAGGGTCTTATAACGTCGTTGAGACGTCTCAAAACTCTTGACAGAATATACTATAAAGTGGAGTGACCTTATGTTACAGTCCGCCATTCGACTAACAACCGGGTCCCTACTAACTGCTAGGTAACCTGGAGACGGTGGAGTAAGGAAAGTTGCCTAAGGTTTCGCCCCGCCTGGGAATCAAACCCAGGTCTGTCGCTTGCGAGGCGAGTGCTCTAACCACTACGCCACATGTCGCTTAAATTGTTCAATACATTCTTGATTTTGAAGCCCTTTAATTTGCCTGCCCTATCGCGACATTGACAACCTCCAGAGTTATTTAGATTATGCCGGGGGCCACTCAGGTTCGTGCGATGGCTAAGCCATGTCCATCTCCGGGGTAGAAATTCCACCCCAGGGATTACTAGCTTCCCTCGCGACGCTCCAGTGCAGTGCTGGAATATCCCACTGCACTATCCGAAAACTCGATCCCCCAGATAAAATCGCTCACTTTTTGGCTGTTTCTGGGGTGTTGCTGTGTGCAAGTTGGCTGCCACCTTCGCCTTACAAACACAGTCACTTTATAGTAAAATCCCGCGAAGCGCTTTGAAAGGTTTTCAAAACACGCACTAAAAGGCACTGTATGTATCTAACGCAAGGAATATTAGTATATTTTCTTGCCGCTTCAGAGAATCCAAAATTTGGCAAATTCTTAAATTACGGCCTTGATTTTGTAGCCAATTTTCTGCAAGTTTTCTTTTGAGAAACCACTGTACAGGGAGAGAAAAAAACTTTGATACAAATTCATCAATTTGCCAAATTATTATTATTAATTATCCTAATAGAGACGTCTCAAAGACACGATAAGGCACTATATCAAATGCAAGGATTACTATTATAATAATTATCAATAATATCCTTGAATTTTATACAGAGCCTTTCTTGTCGAGAGGACATATCAAAGTGCTACACGAAGACTTGCAACAGAACACAGTGACTGGGTGTTTTGTGGGCAAACAAATTGTAATTATAATAACACGATTTATACAGTCCATAAAATGTACAGTCAAATATAGCATCTTAGCACGACATTGGGATGTCTCAAAGCGCTTCACAGGATATACTGTAAAGTGAATTGACTGTGTATTTTTGGGGTGAAACACGGCAGCCGATTGCGCACAGTAGTGTCCCACAAATGCTGCACTGTCATGGTATAGCCTAAAGTAGTGATCTGGGTTTATTTTTTGAATCATCCTCTCTCAAGACTGAAGAGCTCTCGCTTGTCTAATCATTGCTCGCAGCTCATTCCTCTAACACTGGGGATCACTCTCCCTCCGCACTGTCTCTAGACATATGCTCACTGGAAACACACACACACTGAACTGCCACAGACACAGTACCTATGCTACGAGCAGAGGTGTAAGTCACAGGTAAAGCGATCTTAACCCCAGTCTTCTAAGAGGGGAAGGTTTACGGGTTGCAGTTGTTTACCACAAAACACAGAGTCCTCTGCAACTGCAAAGCGAGCTCCCGATCGTGAAAGGTGCCGTCTCAAATGCGAGAATTGTTATTATCGATAATAATTAACAGTAAACTTCTGAATAACTCGAGCCTGGCTTAACTTGTCAAGGAATACAGTCAATTATAAAAATCACAAAATATACAGACAAAATGTACTTTGCAGTATATTCTGTGAAGCGTTTTGATTCGTAATAAAGCACTATGTCAAATGCAAATATTATTATTATTAAATGCAAGGATTATTATTATTATCACCACCATGCAAGTCATTGTGCTGTCCCATCCCGAACGCATTTATTTATGTATTTTTGCGCCTAACTCCTGATAACTCGTCACTGAACCCTTCGCCCTCGGAGCGACAAGTTACCAAGGAGTTTATCCTAATATAGAATCATAGAATCTTACAGCACAGAAGGAGGCCATTCGGCCCATCGTGCCTGTCCCGGCTCTTTGAAAGAGCCATCCAACTAGTCCCACTCCCCCGCTCTGAGCCCATAAGCCCTGCAAATTTTTCCTTTTCAAATCCATATCCAATTCCCTTTTGAAAGTTATTATTGAATCTGCTTCCACCACCCTTTCGTTCCAGAGCGCAACAACTCGCTGCGTAAAAGAAACACTCTTCATCTCCCCTCTGGTTCTTTTGACAACTATCTTAAATCTGTGTCCTCTGGTTACCGACCCACCCACCAGAGGAACCAGTTCCTCCCTTATCTGCTCCATCAAAACCCCTCATAATTTTGACCCTCTCTATTAGATCTCCCCTCAACCTTCTCTGCTCTAAGGAGAACGATCCCAGCTTCTCTAGTCTGTCCGTTTATCTATGTATTGATACAAACGCCCAACTCACATTAACTCTTGCACTCTTCCCCCACCCTCCCCAGCCCGAATCTTGCAAGCACAGGGGTAATAACAATGCAAAACCTCTGCGTTGTGTGTGTGCTGGGGGTGGAGGGGAGAAGTAGTGGGGGGGGGGTGAGGGAAAGGAATCTGATCTGTGGCCAACAGTCCGGCTTTGTCTGCGGGAACCGAAGTCCCGAGGCAAAAAGTTTTGAAACTCCTATACAATCTGCGAGCGCTTCAGAAATGTTTAAACGTCGGCTATTACCCCCTCCCCCACCCTCACTCTCCCCCCACCCCCCACCCCCCACTCCCCCATACAAATGTAATCGGTTGTTTTTGTTTAAAAAGCCAAAACACAACCCTTTAAATGGTCATCGAACTAGTCCTTTCCCCCTCTCCCTATTTCTCTCTCCCTCCCCTCTCCCGGCTTAAAGTCTCCAAAATTACCCCCAGGAGCTATCCTGCATGAAGGGCGCTATATAAATGCAAGTTGTTGGTGTTGTAGAAAAGAGATTCCCCCCCACCACACACACAAGAAAAAAAAGTTAACTGACTGCTAACTCCTGCACAAACTGTGGGCGCTTCAGATAGTTATTAAGTTATGCCCCCCCCCCCACCCCCCACTCCCACCTCCCAGTAAAATGACATATATAATTATAATACAGGTAATAATGAATATAATATAATAATAACACACACACACTTAGTTCGTTGTCACACAGTTCGTTGTTGTTATTGTTGAAAAGTGATTCCCCACACAGAAAAAAAGCCAATTTGCAACAGAACTAAACACACCAGTGATTCTTTTGTGTGTGTGTGTGTGTGTGTTCGTGTGTATTTTGTGTGTTGTGAGTGTGTTCTGCGTGCGTACGGTGTGTGTGTGTCTTTATTTTGTGTGTGTGTGTCGTGTTGTGTGTGTATTTTGTGTGTGGTATATGTGTGTGTTTGGTGTATTGTGAGTGTGTTTTGTTGTGTGTGTGTGTGTGTCTTTGTGTTGTGCGTGTGTGAACATTCAAACACACTACTGCACCAAAAAAAAAGACCCACAAACTAAAATCACTCAACACACAAGAAACACGCGCTCACAGAAAAATAGACTGAGCTCTTATCAATCAATGCACACCCTCTTTCTCTCTATCTACCCACCAAAAAAAGAAAATTATATGGAAACTTACTGTAACTTTTTCTGAAAAGTCACTGCAGGCAAAACACCAAATTCCACAGCCGAACCCCAAAGCCGATTGCTTGAAAATCCAAGTCAATAAATACAGACAAATGTAGAGCGCAGAGCTTTGAGGAGACTTCTCGCTGTGTTGCTGCTGTTGTTAATGTTGTTGCAGTCTCCAAAAGTTGATGCAAATACAGAGATCTCGTCAAATTTAATAGTCTCAACACACTCTTTTTCCCCCAAATTCTCTCTCTCCTTTTTCCTTGACGCAACCTCCTTCAGCGAAGATCTATCTCCTCTCCTACTGCTGTGCCTTTTGCTTCATCTTTTCTCTTTCTTTTCTCTCTCCAACTTTTATTCATTGGATGGAGGCAGCACAAAAGAGGTTGGGTTTACTAGTTTACGAATCACAGTAACCTGCCCCCTTTTTCTCTCTCTCGCTCTCTCTCTCTCTCTCTGATGGAGAGATTGGGAAATTACGTCTTGAATCTTGATGGTAAAATGTATTTTTCTCTTGTTAACCAAACCCCCTGGTGACGTTCTCTGTTTCTCTTGCCTTTGGCTGGCACTGATCTCTATCCATTCAAACACAGAAATCACTGATAATAATAATAATAGTAATAATAATAATTCTTGCTATAGCGCCTTATCACGTCTTCGAGACATCTCAAAGCGCTTCACAGGATATACAGTAAAGTGAATTGACTGTGTATTCGTGGGCGAAACACGGCAGCCAATTGCGCACAGCAGTGTCCCACAAACAGCCGTGGATTAAGTGACCAAATTATTACTATTTTTTTCTGGAGGGATTATTATCAGGCTGGTGGAGTAAGGAAAAGGGCCCAAGGTTTTGCCCTGCCGGGAATCGAACCCGGGTCTCTCGCTTGCGAGGCGAGTGCTCTAACCTCTGAGCTGCAGGGCTCCACTGTAAATGCTTCCTGTGCGAAGCTTCGAGTTCATACAATACATATTTTTGGGGAGAGATAGATTTTTACGTTGTGTTGATCTATGGATTTTAACTATATATGTGTGTGTACATTTAATAATAATAATCCTTGCGATTTGAAATCGCGCCTTATCATGTCGTTGAGACGCCACAAAGCACTTCACAAGGATAATACACAACCGTGTAGTGACTGTGTATTTTGTGGGCGAAACGTGGCAGTGATTAATTGAGCTCCTCTTTAAAATGCCGCGTTTCCTTGCAAATTATTTGCTTTTTAAAAAGACTTAAGACGCTTTGGAACTCTCTCCCCCAATTTCCCCCCCCCTTGCCCCCTTCCTTCCCCTCTATCAGATCAGATTCCTTCCACTTTAATCGTGCTTATCAGTTACCCCCTTCCTCCCCCCCACCCGGCTCGGAATCAGGTTCCGACACTGTTCAGCGCTCCCAGGTGTTGCCCTGAGAGAGTCTGAATATGAGAACGCGTGAACTGGAATCTCCTCTGGACCCTCTGTACGGCTTTAATAATAATAATAATAATAATAATAATAATAATAATAATAATAATAATAATAATAATAATAATAATCCTTGCATTTGATATAGCGCTTTTCACGTGTTCTCGGTTTCAAAGCGCTTCACAAGAATATGCTGTAAAGTGAATTGACTGTGTATTTGTGGGCGAAAAGTGGCAGCCAATTGCGCACAGCAGCGTCCCACAAACAGTCATGGATTGAAGTGACCAATTTGATTATTGTTTTGGGGATTATTATCAGGGAATCGAACCCATGTCTCTCGCTTGCAATGCGAGTGATCTAACCACTGAGCTACAGGACTCCACTATAATGTACAATGTTTAACATCCTGTAACGTAATAATAATAATAATCCTTGCATTTGGTATCCCGCCATATCACATCGTCAAGACATCTCAAAGCTCTTCACAGGATATACTGTGAAATGGAGTGACCTCCATGGCACCTCCGACAACACAAACCCCATCCCCTCCCCTACCCCCCACCCCCGCATTGAAATCCCAAACCCGTTTGGAGTTCCTCATCTAAGAATATGAAAAGTGTTATTGAATACTGGGGATTGAATAATTTTTCCCGTGACCATTCGTATAAAAAACAATTAATCTGAGGGGGGGGATAAATTCACATTGTTCTCTTCCATAGTGCAGCGCAAACGTCATGGCCGTCCTCTCCTCCTTCCCCCTGCCCTCTCCTTGCTCCCCGGACAGTTCGCTAGAGATTGCTACTGTGCGAGCGAGCGAGCGTCTGATTGATGGAGAAGAGCATTTGCGGTTCGAATGCAGTCACAGGCCTCCAGGACGCCAGTCTCCTCTTCCACGGAATCCCGTAGCGCAATGGTTGCAGCCCTCGCCTCGCAAGCGAGAGGACACGGGTTTTGATTCCCGGGCGGGGCGAGACCTTAGGCAAGTTTCCTTTCTCCACCCGCCCTCTGTCTACCTGGCAGTAAGTGGGAACTTGTTAGTCGATTGGCGGGTCGCTTTCCAGGGGGGTAATAATCTCTCCGAAAACAAACAACCCAAAATTTGGTCTCTCAATCCACGACTGTTTGAGGGGACGCTGCTGTGCGCCATTGGCTGCCGTGTTTCGCCCACAAAATACACGTTTTTTGCACTTTACCATATATCCTCAACGAGATGAGCTGCCTCAATGATGTGATTTAGGCGCAACATCAAGTGCAAGAACTATTACATTATGTTTAGTCGAGTCAGACGAATAGTATGGGTTTTTGAATAATTTCCACTGTCAACCTGAGTGCTCGATTAACAGTATTTTGTCTGTAGTGATGTACGGTCTTGAGTTAATGAGTGGCTGGCGTGCGCAGGGGGGATTGCGTTGGTTTAAAGCTTGTGGTGAAAGTTCTGAGCGTGGGAATTCCCTCTCTGGCTCCCGGGGAACTTTTCAATTAGGCAACAAAATGTGGGAAAAAAACCACAATTAACTCTTGCGCCTTCCCCCAACAGATGTTGACAGCTGCAATTAGGAGACAGTTTTTTGGGCAAAGGGTAGTGGAAATCTGGAACTCTCTCCCCCTAAAGGCTGTGAATCCTGGATTCATTCACATTTTCAAGACGGGGGTAGATAGATATTTGTTAGGTCAGGGTACTGAGGGGTATGTGGCAAAGGCGGGTAACTGGGCTTGAGGTATAAATCAGCCATGATCTTATGAAATGGCGGAACAGGTTCAAGGGGCTGAAGAGCCTACTGCTGTTTCTACGTCTGCATATCTATGTAGCTGTCGGCCTCTGTTGGGAAAATTTTGGGACGCCTGGATTCACACCGATGGACCAATTCCTTCTCCTTCTCGTAAACTCCCGGGACTGTGGCACAGTGAGTCGCCGCTATTTTTGTTCGCTCTGTCGTCAGTTTCGAACCCCGTCTGCCTTGTGATCCAATTGGACATTATTATTAATAACAACAACAGTAATAATCCTTGCATTTGTTATAGCGCCTTGTCACGTCATCGAGACGATTCAAAGCGCTTCACAGGATACACCGTAAAGTGAATTGACTGTGTATTTTGTGGGCGAAACGCGGCAGCCCATTGCGCACAGCAGCGTCCCCACGAACAGCCGTGGATTGAGCGTCCAAATTTTACGAGAAATATAAATAATGCAGCGCAATCCCAGAATAACAATATATCCTCACGTTTAACACAGTGCCTCTCACGCTCTCAAAGAGCTTCACAGGATTTAGAGTAAAGTGTAGTGACTGCACTTTTGTTAGCAAATGCGGCAGCCAATTTGGGCACAGCAATGTCCCAACAAACAGCAGTGGAGCGAGCGGTCAATTTTATTTGGATGATTTGTCGGCCAGGACACTGGGAGAGAGAAACTTCCTTCTCTTTTCGAATAGCGCAGCGGGATCTTTGACGTCCGCCTGAACAGGCGCAAACGGGAGCCTTGGTTTAACGTCTCATCCGAAGGATGGCACCTCCGACAATGCAGCACATCCCCCAGCATTGTACCAGATGTCAGTCTAGCTCAGTGGTAGCCAACCCACGGCCCGTGGGACCGTCAAGAAGCCACATCCCACCCCCACCCCCACTCCCAAAAATTCCAGGCCACCGCTGACCTAGACTATGAGTCTCTGACTTGGTGAGGGTTGGAGGCTTGAACCCACGACCTTCTAACCCAGAGGCGAGAGTGAGCCAGGGTTGACGTGTTATTCTACTGTGAATACAAACAAAATGCAAATGCATATGAATCGTAATTTATCAGATCAGAGACCTTCCCAAAGGTCAGGGCTTGCGATGAATTGGTAACAATTCCTTCAAGGACGTGGGAGAACTGTGAAGGTTGTGCCTTGTTGACGTGAGTTTTCTGGTGTAAAGTTTGGTTACAGCACACCCAACAGGCCACGATCGATAGCACGCAGAGAGTCCAACACAGAAAGAAGTTGCACACGTAAACCCACAAGTACTTTTGAAGAGTTCCCCCGCTCCGCCCTCCTGCTCGTCCCGCCATCGTCAGTCAGGCCTTCAGCCGTGTGAAACCCCAACCTGGAGCCCTTTCCCCCCTCGCCCCCCCTCCCCTTGCCTCCTTCAAGGCCCGTCTCAGGATCCTCCTCTTCAACCGCGCCTTCGGTCTCCCTCCCACTGCCACCCTCCATGCCCTCTTCATTCCAACCCCCAGCTCGGGTGCAAACCCTTAACTGTCCAGCACCTTGGGAGGTCCTCCCGACATGAAAGGTGCAGAATAAATGCAATATAAGTACAGTATAAATACATTCCATTGCAATCTACATTTTGTTTCTTTCCTTCCACACCAGATGTGAGGATGAGGCCAGAAAATCCACCTGGTTTGGGGCTTAAGTCATTTCAGTGCTTGCAGAACTCAGACAGAATTCTTCTTAATAATAATAATCCTTGCACTTGATATAGCGCCTTATCACATCATTGAGGCAAATCAAAGCGCTTCGCGGGATATACCGTAAAGTGGATTGACTGATTATTTTGTGGACGAAACGCGGCAGCCAATTGCGCACAGCAGCGTCCCACAAACAGTCGTGGATTGAGTGACCACATTTTTTGGGAGGAAGGGATTATTACCCCCGGAAAGCAATCAGCCAATCGACCAACAACTGGTAACTATCAACTACTTTCTGCTGGGTAAACAGAGGCTTGTGGAGTAAGAACACTTGCCTAAGGTTTTGCGCTACCCGGGAATCAAACCCAGGTCCTCTCGCTTGTGAGGCGAGCGAGCCAACCAATGCGCTCGCGAAACAGTGATGATGGAGCTGGAAGATAAGCCACTATATCAAATTCAAGGATTATTATTATATATTANTTTTTAATATATTTTTCAAAGTGAAATCCATTTTCCCACAGAATTTTACGAGGAAGCGATTAAACTATTTTTTTTCCCCCCCAGAAGGCATTTGACAAAGTTCCCTATGAGAGGTTTGCGGAGATTAACTCAAACGAAGCAGATGGGGTGCTGCCTGCATGCATTTACCCCAAATCCTGTCTGTGGCTGTTCAGGT